CCTTTTGATTTTCTGACTCTAGTTCCTCGCACATTTCATTGTAGTATTTTGCTTTGTCATTCCGAGCAGCCTTTTGGAATCTTCTGTTCAGCGCTTGCTGAAGCAGGTCAAGGACTATAGTCTTCAATATTAACTGAAGCTCAACATCAGGAAGACTAAGATTGTCACCACTAGGCCAATTGGTAGCACCATTATAGATGGAGAATATTTGAGGTTGTTAACAGTTACAGCTTGTTAGGTTCCACAATCAATACTCCTGGAACCAGCAGTCAGGAAATCTAAAGATGCATTGCATTAGGAAAATCTGCTGTTAGGGACCTTTTCAGAACACCGAGAAGCAATGATATCAGTCTAGAGACAAGAGGTGCACATAATCCAGTCCATTGTCTTTGCAATTACTTGGTATGCATCAGAGAGCTGAATAATGACTAAGGATGACAGAAGATGAATTGATACCTCTGAGCTGTCGTGCTGGAGAAGAGTCTTGAAGAAATCATGGACGGCCAAGCAAATAATTAGGTCTGTCTTGAAGTGGATAAAACCAAGTTTCTCCTTGGAGGCTAGGATTTTGAAGCTCCATCTCACTTACTTTGGGCATGTGGCCAAGATAGACTGGTCCTTGAGAAGGACAGTATGCTCAAAAGGGTGTAGGGACAGCACAGGAGAGGAAGACCCAGGATGAGACGGATTGATATAGTGAGTTGGGCAATGGGGGTTGGTGTGTCAGAGTCAATGAGTATGACTCAGGACAGGGAAGGCTTCAAAGCTGTTGTACATAGGGTCGCTATGAGCTGTAGGTGATGTGATGACACATAACAATGCTTTTTAAATTAAAAGCAACATGAAGATAACTAGCATCTGCAGAATGAAAATAAAGTGATTAATCAACATGAAAATGAAAATACTCCTTGCTGAGAAGTCAAAATTGTCTTACAGTCAATGGTTCAAACCTCAGAATATTTCTTATAAAAGAAATATTTACATTCACTTAAATAATCCTGTAAGTATCCCAAAAAGTAAATGAGCAAAAGGTACAAACTGGTTAGTCATAAAAAGAGAAACAAATGATCAAGAAATGTAAGAAGTTCATTAACTTTCCTAGTAATCAGAGAATGACAATGAAATTATAATGACATACCACTTTACGTCTACTAATTGACAAAAATAAGAAATACAAGTTAACACAAGTTGATGAGAAGAGAGAGACACCCTCACCTATTGCTAATGAGAGTTTAGAAAAGGCAGCTCTTATGGAAATCAATCTGAAAGTATTGTGTATATCTTTGCCTTTGGTCTGGGAATCCCATTTCTAGGAGTAAACCCAGAAAACATTATGTTTAATTCCAGAAAAGGACTTACATAAGGATGTTCATTGTATCATTCTCTACTGTAGTGATTTGGAAGCAAGGAAGCCATCCAAACTAGGGATTGAGTAAACTATGATTACTGCTCATCAGAAAATATCAGGAATGAACTGGTGAGACATACAATAGCATGGATAGATTTAAAAAAAAAATAATTGTAGTAATAATTTCTGAAGAATGATTTAGCCAAAAATAATAAAGATCAAGAGATAAAGAGGGACCAAACTTAGAAGGTCTAGTCTATGGTATTAAAAGGCTGGCAATACAGCCAGAAATGTACAACCAGGACAGGGTAACATCAATGACTGGGACATACTAAAGATTAAATCCCTATGTGCATCAAAAATGTTTCCCAATTAGTGAAAAGAAAACCTATTGGCTGAGAAAAAAATTGGGTAATTCCATGTCAGATAAGGGTCTCATAATAAGTTTACAGAATACTTTTGGGCCTCCACAAGAAAAAGACTGGTAACCCAACAACAAAATGGGCAAAAGACTCTTCACAAAGAAAGAAATTCAGATAATCAACAGACACATGAAGAAATACTTAAAATCACTGGCAATCCAAGAGATGCAAATGAAAACAACAATGATAACCTGTTAGCAAAGTAGCAATAGCAAAGTTTAACAGGACAGCAACAACAAATGCTGGAGAGGATGTAGAGAAATTAGAACACTTACGCACTGCTGGTGGAACTGTAAAATGGCACACTCACTCTGGAAGGCCATTTGGCATTTCCTCAAAAAGCTGAACATAGAAATCCCATTTGACTCAGCTATTCCATTGCTAAGAATATACCCTAAGGAAATGAAAACTGAGCCATGAACAGAAATATGTACAACAAAGATTCTCACCACTGGGCCGACTGGCAGCATCAAGATAGATGGTGAAGAGATTGAGATTATAGACACCTTCAGTTTGCTTGGCTCTACAATCAACACTCTTGGTATCAGCAGGAAATTAAAATACCAATTGCATTGGGAAAGTCTGCTGTCAGAGACTTCTCCAAAGAGCTGAAGAGCAATTATGTCAGTCTGGAGACTAAGGTGCTCCTGATAAAGGCCACGGTCTTTGAAATTACTTGCTATGCATCAGAGAGCTGGGCAATGACTAGGAATGACAGGAGAGCTTATGCCTTTGAGCTGTGGTTTTGGAGAAGGGTATTGAAAACACCATAGACTGCTAGGAGAACAAACAAGTTCGTTCTGGAGAGGGTGAAGCTGGGCTGTTCCTGGGAGGCAAGGATTCTGAAGCTTCGTTTGACATACTGTAGACATGTTGCAAGGAGAGATCAGTTCTTGGAGACGGACATTATACCTGGGAGAGTGGAGGGAGAGCACAGGAAAAGAAGACCCTCAATGAGATGGACTGATTCAGTTACTGGGGTAATGGGAACAGGTGTGTCAGAGACAGTAAGATTGGCAAGGGATAGAGCAGGGTTTAGGGCTGTTGTTGCCATGAGTTGCAGGTGATTTGACAGCACATAACAACAACATGTTCATATCAGCATTATTCACAATTACAAGAAAATGGAAAGAGCACACAGGCATAGACTGAGAAACTGTGGTACATTCACACAATGGAATACTATGCAGCACTAAGAAACAAAAATTTCATAAAATTCTATATAACATGGAAGTGTTTAGAGAGTATCATGCTAAGTGAAATAATTCAATCTCATAAGAACAAGTAAAAACTGCATAAGACCATTATTGTAAAAACAGAAGGCTGAGTTGGATGTGTATAAACATCCAAAAGAGGAAGGAGAAAGGGTAAAAAGAAAAGAGAAAAGTGAAAAACATGAGGATAGCAGAGTTTAGTGAGCAGATGGGGGTGAGGGTGTAAATGAATAGGAAAGATCCAGAGGGGATTTGAAAAGAACGGCTAATAATAAAATACAATGCATATGAATGATTGCTGAATATGGAGTTTATCATTCAATATGATTTTCTGAGACATAACTTGAGCGGGAATATGTGAGTGTGCCATGTTAGCATATCCACAAGGGGACTGGCTATCTACCAATTCACATGGGGATTGGCTAGTTTCATCATTAAATTGAGCAATCCAGCAGCAGAAGAATTAGACATTCCCTGCTCCAGCGAAGAAGCAGTGAAAGAACCAGGACACCCATGGGACCAGATATTCTTTCTTCAATTACATCTACAGCAGCAGCAGTCATGGCTGACCCAGAGACATGATGTGAGATAAAACCTTGGGAATGCTACACCACTGCAATCAGAGCTAAAAGCCTTTGCCAAAGTTTGTTGGACACCTGGGGGTAGAGGTGGGGTCATAATTCACAGGACTGAAAACTTTGTAACACTGGCCTAAAGCTATGAAGCTGAGGTACCTGTGAGCACATTTCAAAAGCCATTCTGACTTTCCTGCTACTAACCTGGATTCTAACCTTTTAACTTCCCTAATATGGTTCTGTGCAGCTGTGAGCTATCTCATCAGATTTTGGACCCAGAAAAGCAGTAAGATTGGTACTGAGATAATAAAAGAGGTATGGGAACACAGGGAACATGTCTGACCTCATGGGAATTAGTTTTGTGCTATTGATCTGTTGACAAATAGTTTTCCTTTGTGAAGTTGGTAAAGGACAGGTGGCAGTCCCCACATGGCCTTTGCTCTTTTTACAGTGAAACACAATGCAAAGGAAAGATGTATAAAACACGATGTGCATGTACAAAATACAATGTATATAAATTTGCATGCAAACCAATAAAAAAATTGGGTTTAGAAACTTTTGTCTAATTATTCTTTGTGTACTACAAGTATCTTTCTGATCACAGGATACATATACTACGTAAAAAGTCAATGAGCTGTGTACAGAAGAATTGTAATTATTGCTGTTGTTATGTGCCAGTTAAGTAGTTTGCAACTCATAGCAACCCTATGTACAACAGCAATAAACTCTGCTCTATCCTGTGCCAATCGCACCGTCTCAAATACGCCCATACCTATTACCCCAGTCACTGAATCAATCCGCCTCATAGAGGGTCTTCCCCTCCTGCGCTGTCACTCCACCCCACCAAGCATGATATCCTTCTCCAAGGACCGGTCCCTCCTTACAACATGTCCAAAATATGTTAGATGGAGCCTCAGAATCCTTGCCTCCAAGGAGCTGCCCAGTTTAACCCTTTCCAAGATGAATCTGTTTGTTTTCCTAGCAGTCCATGGTACCCTCAATACTCTTCTCCAGCACCACAGCTCAAAGGCATCAATTCTCCTTCTATCCTCCTTAGTCATTGTCCAACTCTTTGATGCATAACAAGTGACTGCAAAGACCATGGCCTGTATCAGACCCACCTTAAGTCTCAAGAGAGACACCACTGCTCTTCAGTACTTTGGAGAGGTCCCTAACAGCAGACTTTCCCATCGCAATACATCTTTTAATTTCCTACCTACTGGTGCTGAGAGTGTTGACTGTGGAGCCAAGCAAAGTAAAGCTGTAAACAATCTCAGTCTCTTCACCATCCATCCTGATGCTGCCAATTGGTCCAGTGGTGAGAATCTTTGTCTCCTGGACATTGAGCCTCAATCAATATTGGAGGTTGCAGTCCTTGACCCTCTGCAGCAAGTGCTTCAGGTCCTCCTCACTTTCAGCAAGAAGGTTGTGTCATCTGCATATCACAGATTGTTAACAGATCTTCCTTCAATCTTGACCCCACATTCCTCCTCATAGAGCCCAGCCTCCCAGATAATCTGCTCTGCATACTGGTTGAAAATGTATGGAGACAGGACACATCCCTGGCACACGCCCTTCCCAATTTTGAACCATGCAGTGTTTCCCTGCTCTGTTCTGACGACTGCCTTTTGGTCCAAGTATAGGTTTCTCATTAGAACGATCAAGTATTCTGGGATTCCCATTCTTCTCAGAGTCAGCCACAGTTTGTTATGATCCACACAAACCCCTTTGCATAGTCAATGAAACACAGATATACATTCCTCTGGTATTCCCTGCTTTCAGCCAAGATCCATCTAACATTAGCTATAATTCCCTAATACCACGACCCCTTCTAAACCCAGCCTGGACTTCTGGCAGTTCTCTGCTGATGTGTTGTTCCAGCCGTTTTTGGTAATCTTCAGTAAAATCTTGCTTGTATGTGAAATCAATGACACTGTTCTGTAGTTTCCACACTCAGCTGGGTCACCTTTCTTTGGAATGGGAACAAATATAGATCTCTTCCAGTCAGTTGGACAAGTGGTTGTTCTCCAGATTTCTTGGCAAAACTTGGTGAGCACGTCCAGGGCAGCATCTGTTAGCTAAAATATGTCAATTGGTATACCATCTATTCCTGGGGCCTTATTTTTTGCTATTTCCTTCAAAGCAGCTTGAACTTCGTTTATCACCATAGGTTCTTGCTCATACGTTGTTTCATGAAATCCTTCTGTGTCTCCCAATTCCTTTCAATACAGTGACTCAGTATAGTCTTTCCATCTTTTAATACTTCTGGATCACTTAATATTCTGCCTAAAGCATCCTTGATCATAGCAACTCGAGGTTTGAATTTGTTCTTCAGTTCCTTGAGCTTAAAAAATGCTGAGTGAGTTCGGCCCTTTTGATTTTCTGACTCCAACTCCTTGCACATTTCATTGTAATATTTTACTTTGTCATCCCGTGCTGCCTTTTGAAATCTTCTATTTAACTCTTTAGTATCTTGGATTCTTCGTTGTGCTTTGGCAAAGAATTTTATAGCATAGTATTTAAAAACTAGCAATTTAAAATATTAAACTGCTTTTAAAATTTAAAAAATAAAAATAACATCATCATAGTACTAAACTTCTAGTTCCAGAAAGAATATTGAAAATTTAATATAGTGTTAAAAACTTTGAGTAACACTTCAAAATAGAAGTAACAATCATAACCATTGCCACTATTTTATTTTTGCTGCTATTATTTTATTTTCATTCCATGCACATTCAAGGAAGAGGAAAATTCAAGTTCTGAATGTATAATCTGTATTTCAAACAAGCAAGTAATGTACAAATGTATAAACAATAATGAGGGCCCCTTAAATTTAAACTCATTGTTTTTGATTGTTACCAACTCATAGCTGACCCTCCATCTAGTTTTTGTAAACTGTAAACTACACAGAGGAGAGTACCTTTCTTCCTTCTGTGGAATCACTGATGGATTCTTGAGTAGTTACTAGCACAACTCTCTCTGGATTATGCCACCAGGGCTCCCTAATAAGATGGTAGAACTATGGAAAGGAAAGGTATGAAGATAGTAGAATTTATCCTCATGGAAAGGCATAATATCTAAAATATAATAATACATTTATTTTTTTACCTTTTAAAAAAAAGCTGAATAATAGAAGGTTCATTGCTAAGGTGCTTGTTGTTGTTTCTGTGTGTTATCAAGTCAGACTAGACTCATAGTTGACCTTCCAGCAGGTTTACAGAGGCAGTAAATCTCATCAGAGGACACTGCCCAGCCTTCTCCTGCAGAGCAGCTGGTGAATTTGAACTGCTAGCAGACCAGAAATGGAAATGGAAAGGGACTCCTAAGTTTTATGCCACTCTGCCATCTGCTGGATGCTCTGAATAGTAAGTATCTGTTATACTCCACTGACTATTCCCAGTACCAACACAGGTTCCAAGTGTTTCCTTCACTCTCTTTTATGCTGGAAGCATCCTGGGAAATCCACCTCTCCAGAAAAAGGCTTTGCTTAGATGCCTAACAAAAAAACTCACAGTTCTAGTGTTAACCACCTCTGTAACCTCAGTGAAATAATTGAGAGTAAGTCAATATGCTAAGCATCCAATGCAAATCAAGTTCTGTAGACACTGTCTTATGCATGTCTTATGAATGATGTCATGCTTGATAAAGTGGAGGGTCACTGTAGAAACTGCCCAAAAAGTGACACAGTGGCTGCAAAAAACTACACAGCAACAACTGTGAAAACGGTGCAGGACCAGGAGGTTTTACCTTCTATCACGCATGGTGTTGCTGAGTCTAAACGGACTAGGTGCCACCTAACAACGTCTCCTCCAAGAAACAGCTCAGACCACTGGAGGTCAAGAGAAATGCACGTTTATCTTTGTATTCACAATGCTATGGGAGCTACTTCATCAATATTATTCAAACATAGATAAATATAATACCAAGGAATCAGCAAAGTATTTTACCAAAGTAATATGTAAATTTAAGTTTTATCTATAAAACTAATCAAAAAAGAAGAAAGACTAGAAGTAAAGCTTTAACTTGAAGGAAAAAGGCGATGATGACTATCAGAGAAAAAATGAGGGGAAAATGCTGGAGTAAAAGTGCTAAGGAATATAATTTCTCTATTTTCTAAAGTTTTGTTCTAGTGGCTCTTTAAAAACACAATGACATTTACTTACTGGTTGTAAAGTTCCGGGTATCTAACCAAGTTCTGAATGAATTCATTCAATCCTGCTCTCCTTTGTTTAATAAAATCTGTTAAGAAAGATACAAACTATTAGGACACTTCATGGTAGACTACATAATTATCATCAAAACAGTATTATAAGGATAGATACTATAAGGAAGATATTGAATTCTGTTTATGAAGCTATTTCTTAACTCTTGGTTTACAGGAGGAATAAATACTTAGAAATGTATATATCTTAAAAGCACAGATGGGCCTTGGAATTGACCTCCCAGGACCCACCGGTGACTCCCCACAAGCCTCCTATTACTTGGAGAGCAGAGAGAGGAGATACTGGAGAATCTGTTAAAAGCAAATGAGGCTCCTGCATGTTGATGGGTTTGATGGAGAGCACTGCAAGAGGACACGCAGGCTACCAGGAGCAACAGCGATGAAGACTATTATTTCTAGATGATGACTACAGATTCTCATTCTTTTGACTATGTCCAATCCCACTTTGCATGCTGGAATTCCTCCACCTTACGATTTTCTAATAAGGTTACTATTCTGTTGTGGGTAAGGGGATGTGAGAGAGGGGCGAGGCCTACCTGCTACCTGTAGCCTACTATCTGCTACCTGCTACCTGCCACTTGACTTTTGATGAGAACTCTGTCAGTCAACCACAAAAGTATTGGGATCCTCTAATTGGCCAAATGTTTAACTACCACCCTGAATACTGGTACCTGCATAAATACAGTGACAGCTGTACCACAATTTCGCATCTAAGGAATAGTGACTATTAAGTAGCTGCCTGTTTTCTCTCTTGGCCCACCCTCCACCCCAAGTAATAACCTTGCCTACTGCTCACTCTGTGAACCTGTTATTCAGCCTAAGTATTAACAACAGTATTACAATATGACCTGGTAAGTAAAAACTACTTTGCATGCCTCCCCCAAAAAAGCACAAATGCAACTATACATTAAAATAATGCAAATAACATATCTATGAAAAGAATATTCTACATAAATGTGTATTTTGAGTTCAAATGTTAATTTCAAAATTTGGAGAAGCATTTTCCTTTGCCCAACTGTTCATGTATCAGAATATAAATAAAAATTAACACTACTGATCAATAATGGAAAACCCAAAAAATTTTAAAAAAGAATAATAAATGGAAATATTTTGTAAATAAAGGAGTGTGTTAAAGTAGGATCACTAAAAACTGCATTGGTATACTTTCTTAACAAATAATTATCCATTACCTTAAAACTAGGAGGGTTCCCCCCCCCTTTTTTTGTTTGTTTTGTTTGTTCGGTTTTGTTTTGTTTTTTAAGAGAGATTTATTAGAAAGTTACATCCCCAAGAATGGGTCTCTCTCCTTGAAAGAATATATGGAGGAGAGGCCTTAAAAGTGTTTTAACTGTTGATAACTGAGGTGAAAGCAACAGTCATATAGCAGTAAGTTTATTGGTGTCCGTAAAGGTTACTCAAATATCTAATCTCTGCTACTTATTAAGTAACTGACTTTGAACTTTTTTTAAAATTATTTTTATTATTTTATTATTGTGTGTGTGTGTGTACCGTCAAATCAGATCTGACTGGTACAGGAGGAGATTGTCCCTCCTTTCCCGGCAGAGCATCTGGTGGATTTGAACCGTGCGCTTCTGGGATTGCAGGGCAGCTTCTTGACACTAGGCCACCAGAGCTCCCCTTGACTTTGAATTTTTATAAGACTGACATTTTACTTGTCAAATCAGGATCATAACCAGTCTATTCCCTTTAATTGGATTAAAGGAGACAATGCAAGTAACTATACAGGAGAATATATGATATAGTAAGAACATGATTATTCTACTGGCTTTTGTAGAGGTCAATAATTTATCACCATAAAACCTGATTCTTAAAAAATACTCTAAACATGAAAAAGAAACTAGATTAATTACAGGTCAGTGCTAGAAAAGATCAGGAGTAGCTTAAAAAAACAATCCAAAATAATGCAGAGAAAACAAATGAAGCATTAGAGGCACTGGAAAAACAAGAAACTGTGATCCAAAATATGAAATCTAAGGTTTCTGGTGCTGTCAACATGATGGAGGGACATACGAATAGAGGTGAAGAGATGGAAAACAGAATCAGTGAAATAGAAGATAGATTTGTCACCACAGATCTGACTGAGAAAAAAGCAGAATCCAAAAAGAAGGAAACAGAAGAAAGCTTAAGAATACTGTGGGATACCATTAAAAGAAATAATATCCGCATCATAGGAATCCCAGAACAGGAAGAAGCAAGTAAAGACACTGAAAAAGTTGTGGAAGAATTACTAGAGGAAAACTTTACAGGCATAATGAAGAATGATAGAATATATATTCAAGAAGCTGAATGAATACCATATAGAATAGACCCTAAAAGTAAAACACCAAGGCACATCATTGTCAAATTTGCTAGAACTAAAGATAAGGAGAGAATACTAAAAGCAACAAGAGAGAAACAAAGAGTAACCTATAAGGGAAAACAGATAAGATTAACTGCTAATTTCTCAGCAGAAACCATGCAAGCAAGAAGA